CATTAAAAGAGAGGATCGCGAACGCGCGCGACTCGCACACGCATTTTACGAGGCAGCGGCAATCCGCAAGATCTGGGCGTTCCCCTACGTTCCCCCAGAGCGCAGCTCTGGCCCACTGTGACAAAGCGTAGCCAGAGCCTGGAGACTCCTCCGACTGAAGCCTGAGCCTCCTCCGACTGAAGCCTGAGCCTGATGATAGCTTACTTAGCGACTGGCGGAGAGGGGACTGCATGGAGTGGAGTCTCAGTCTCAGTCTCAGTCTCAAGTCTTCCTCTCGCTCTCTCGAGTGTGTGTGTGTGTGTAATGTATGAAGCGGATTTGTGCAGACTGCGTCGCCTTATTTAGGAGATCGTGATAAAAGTTGGAAGTCGCTTGATTTATGTCAACGCACACACCAGAGCCCAGAGCCCAGAGCCACAGAGCACCAGAGGGACTTGGCCCGAAGAAGAACTCCAGATACGATACCGCCTAAGATTCTCCCATCCCATCCCATGCCGCATTCGCATTTCGCATTTCGCAATCCCAATGCCGCTCAGCCTCATTGAATTTAAGTGCCAAATTAGGAACAATATTGAAGCACAATTGCCAGGAGGGGAACGTTCTGGAGTTCTCTCTCTCTCTCTTGGTCGAAATCCCCCAAACACTGTCACTGGATGAAGTGAGCTGTCACGTTTGCGGTCTGCTTATGTCAGATTCAGCTGCAACCGTCTGCGGTCTCAGCAACAGCATCAGCATCAGCCAGAGCCTCTCCTTTAAGCCCTTTAAAATGTGTTGTTATGATCGGGCGGCAACGATAAGTTAACTTTTTCAGATGGTTGGAAGTTGGAACTGAAACGGAGACTGGGGACTGGGGACTGCCAACTGCCAACTGCAACTGGGATGCCCTGATGGAGAGAGAAACTGCAATCTCAGTTGCAGCCTTGCAACAGGCTCTAAAGTTACGCGGCATTGGGGTTTTAGGTTTTCTCCCGACTTTCGATGCAAATCATTTTACGTGTTGGCGACATTAAGCGCGAAATGACCCCGTTATCCCACTTGTCATCATCACTTCATAAATTAATGCTAAACCCAAGAAGGAGGTAGCCACAGACACAGACCCAACACCAGCACCAACACCAACCAGGTATTCCTACTCCTTTTGGGGCCACAAAGCGGGTCAAGATCAGAAACAGAAGTTGTACTCCTTCCAGTTAGAGTTTGGTTGGAAATTTTGAATCATAAACTTAATTCCTAGAGTCTGTTCCCCTGTCCGTGCCCCCTGCTACATTCAGTCTCAAATTTGTGTCGACAAATTGGTCCCTTTGGCTGTGTGTGTGTCTGTGTCTGTGCCTTAGCCTGGCCAAAACCCAGCCAAAGTAACAGACTCTCTCGAGAGACACTCGGTCTGGGGCCGCCTCGAGTGTGTGCTCCGCTTTGCGATTACGATCACTTTTAGATCCAATATATCAGAGGCGCGTTGACGTTGTACATTGGACGACAATTGATATAAGTTGTGGTGAAAAGTTTAGTGGCATTCAACGATTGCTTTGCTAGATTAAAAGCGACAGGCAGCCAGGACGGGGACTCGGACTGGGACTGGGACTGGGACTGGACCTGGACATCGATGTGGACTTGAAGCTGATGCTGAAACGAGGCGGCACCGGGATCGAGGCGACTGTTGGCTGGCTGACTGTGCCTGGCCCACAAATCTTTTGCAGTCCCACCAACAATCACAATGCCAGAGCAAAACACACAAAAACAACCAAAAACGAAACAAGGAAGAAGGCTGTAGAATTGATATTTCGAACTCAAGATACCCAGTAAAATGATTCCAGCCTTAACTCGTGATTGTTATTAGTTTTCAGTAGCTGAATATGGGCTATAAAATTACATTAATGTTCAACAAATTGTGGAAACACAGCACACCTTTCCCGAAAGTTTGTTGGATTATTTTTGGGATCTAAAGCTAAATTGAATTCATTGAAGAAGCACATTTTCCGACTCAAATAAATATTTGTATAATTTCTGGGACTTCCAGAACCCTGCCTCCCGCCTGTTACAAACACCTCAACTCACACAACATACCCCTGTGCTCCCCTAAATACCGTTTGCAACAAAGTAAAATAAAATAAGTAAAGAAGCAAGCAGACAAGTCAGCAGACAAATAGCCGCACGTTGTACGTGCCGCTTTGGAATCTGTTTGGATATACATACAAATATCCGTATATATACGTATGTTGCCTTGCTCTCTGTACATTTTATGGTAGTTGAGCTTTTTTAATTGCAGCCACAGCCACACGGCACAGCCGCTGCTTCAGCAGCAGCAGCCGCCACAGGAGCGGCCACATGTACCCATCGTCAGTCGTCAGTCGTTCGTCGTCTGTCGTCTGTCGGGTGCCGCCACCCGTTAACAGTAAAACGCAAAATTATGCGATGCTACGTGATGACAACAAGGTGGAGCATTCCAATACGTCTCGCAGATGCTATCAGATCCAAGGGGGGGATCTCAGGGGATATGTCTCAGTGGCATATGCCTGGGCCCAGGCCTGTGGCCAGCCCACTGTCGGTTATTACGTATAAATTAGTGGGGAATATTTTAATTTAGAATATTGGATGCTCTCTTTAATGAAAGTTGTGTGGTATATATCAGAAGTATTTGACTGATAATGTAGATATTTTAATTACGAGTATTATGGAATATTTGCAGCTTTATATGCACAAATTATTGCACCTTGAAAACTTAAAACTATAAACAAAAACTCAATCTGGTTTTAATAAATTCTAAAAATTCACCATACCTCCCTGCTATAGAGTACAGCAAGAGTTTATCATCAAATGACATCTAATGAGTTAGACATTGTCGCTTAGCGGGTTGCCGAGGTTCCACTGGGGTTCCAGATCGTGTCTCAACCTGCGACTGCTTCTGCGGCTTCAGCGCACCTTGAAGTTGATCATTCCTCTGACGAGGAGGAGGCTGGAACCTGTTGCCAAATATCTCGTAGATTGGGTGAGATTTATGTGTTAGCAAGGCTTAGAAAGAAATTTGGATGAGTCAAGGCGCGTGAGGCGACTCAGTTTTGATGTGGCAACTGCTGTTGCTGATGAATCAGATGAGAAATCTGCATCTGCATTGAAGAGCGTGGGGGAAAAAACCCAACCATAAAAGTTGTCACCTTCCCGATGACGGAAGTGATGATTGGGCTACCGAAGTGTTGAATCAGTCCGTGGTCGGTCCAGCGGTAAGATGGCCGCAATTGATAAGTCCGCGTGGACGGGGTCTTTCAGCAGCGAGTGGGTGCAGTGGGTGGGCAGTGAGTGGTACGCCCCCTGGCCTGGAGTGCAATAGAGTCTTGGCGATCGGCTGCCATCGACGATCCGCAGATCCTAAGCCAATGTGCGGCCAACAAAAGCAGCGGGTGACGGCGCGGCGCACACAGCGGGCCGCCTCCTTCAGGTCGGATTTGTGCGTCTTCGCTGGACTGGGAGTCGGAGTCGAAGTCTTAGCCGAAGTCAAACTGCGTGGATGTCGTCCTTTTGGTGGAAGGTGGAAACAGTTTAGGTTAATGCCATAAGCAGCAGCAGGCCAAAAACCAACGGCAGCGGTTAACTGGAAAACCACACGTGCCTCAAAAGGCGACCACATGCAGATCTATATGGCCACAGCCTACATACAGAATGCAGAAGATACACCAGCAGCCACATCCACAATCCACATCCTGGGACACACTCGCCACAGTAGCTGCTCTGGCATTCGTTTCGCATTTGGAAACGCTTTCATTATAGCCAAGTCGAAGTGGGTTCTGGGTTCTGGGATCCTGTCGTGAGACGCGCTAACATTTAAATTTGTGGAAAATGAACCTCAACAAGGGTCCTCCTTCTCCCACTCCTGCTGCTGCTGCTACCCGGGCAATGTTACGGCTTATCAAAACATAGTCAATATTTAATTAACACGAACGCATCAAGCCAGCAAGGGGGACGACGCTTCGGACTTGAGTCATGCACGGGACGAGCGCTGCCCCGAACCGAGTGATTTATGATCTCTCAAGTGAAATTCTCACTCTCTATCTCTTGCTCTACGTCTGTATGTGTACCTCCTTTTTCAGTCTGTTTACCAATTTCGCTCGCTCACCACGAATCAATGTGCGAGCCGACAAAGGAACAGTTGTTCTAAATAGTGTACTTAATTGTTGGTAAATACCATAGCAAGCAGTTCCCCTAAATGCTGAGCAAATGAATTGATTATCGCATCCCGCACAGTAAACACTCGTGGGGTAGAGACATATCCTAAACACACACTGAATACACCCACATAAGGTAAAACCCAATTGAGTGCATCAACATGTGAAATGGTGGTTTTTACTCATCCAAGATGATCGCAAGAGCACATGTAAATATTCCCCTTAAGTGCAGTGGCTTCAGTTTGGTTCACTTTGTCTAGTAGGCACTGTAGTTTCTCTACCATCAATCAACTGCGCATCAAATTAATTCCACCTCGTATTACAAAACCAACAATTAGCTGTAAATGCACATAAAAGAGAAGAGAGACAGCCATTACCTGCTTCAGCTTATGATTCTCGCTATGCAAAAACAACATCAACCCATTGCACATGCAAAAGCAGAGCGGCGATAAGAATAAAGAGAAGTGGAGAAGCAATGAAATAAAAGAAATGCAGCTTATGCAGGCCGAGGCATGGTGCGTAGTAGTCAAGGTGATACTTTGGCAGTAAAGCTCTTTATCATAGCTATGGCTTGTGGACATGCGTCACCCTACGGAAAGCACCTTGGGCAGAGTCATTGCAATCATCTTAAGCGAGTGAAGAGTCTCATAAGCAAAAGAGAGTGAGTTCCCAAGCGAAGAGAAACCTGATCTCTGACCCATGAGCCTTAGTGCCCACTTATTAAATCATAGAAAAACACATCATTTAAGGCTTTTTTTGTTGTCTTTTAATTGTATAAATATGTTTATGTATTAACTAATTGTTTTGCTGTCTCTCTCTATGCATATAAGTACATTAATTGCGTTTATTTTTTAGCTGATTTATTGGGGAATAAAACAGAAAATGTCTAGAATTTTACACTGTCTGCACTTTCTAATTATTTTATTTGCTTTATATAGTAGGTATATTTAAATGGTATAAATAGCGGAAAAACATGTACAATCTTATTGCCGGGCACTTAAAAAAAGAAATAAAAAAGAACAAAAACAATTTCGGGGTAATTTTTTGTTTAAATTTTTGTTTTGTTTTTGTGATTTTTTTTAGCAAATATTTTCTGTTTTTATTCTTTTAAAATTTAAACTTAAACAAAACAATCGCATATCGTAGTATTTACTTGATAATGTTTTTGTTTATGGTTTATGATTAATATTATGATTAATTTTATGTAATACATTTTCAACGTGTTTTATTTTCATTTTTGATTTTAAAATAAAAATACTTATCATTTAGGGCATGTGTCTGTGTGTGTGTGGGTGTCTTTTGTAGTATTATTATTAAGTTTTAATTAATTTCATTATTCATACAAATATAGCGAGGGGGCAGGGGGTAAATGTTCAATTTTTAAGGCAAGATAATTGCAGCTGATGGTTTCTTTCTATGTCTAAATGTTGCACTGTGTGTGGCTTTCGTTACCGTTAGTATGGAAAGCACAAGAAGCTGAAGCTTAATTGCACTTTCGCTGGCAATGTTAGCCCCACTGGAGAATGATTCTGGCAACAAGTTGGTGGCGGTTAAATGTTGCTTCCTTCCGGCTTGCTGTTTCGGTTATTGTTGCTCTAGCGGTTAATAATGCTGTATAGAAATATGCTGCTGGGTTGACGGATCCTCTAGGGGGTGTGTTGGATCATCCCCGAATACTGCTGGATCGAGTGATTATGTTGTGTGTTTAATGTGGCTTAAGCGAAAGCTCTATCGGTTATTGTTGCTAGGAATAAATGTTCCACCGATTCCTTTAGTGGTTTCTTCTACCTCCCATAGCCGCCACGCCCACAGGTGTCCTTGTGTAGATTTCTGCAAAATATTTTCAAGAGAATTTTGTTGCTTCTGTTCTTTTGTTGTTGTAGTTGTTGGTGCTGCTATTGTTGCTGTTGCTGTTGCTGTTGGTGGTGCTGCGCCTGCGCAACATTTTGTGAATGTTTCTGTAGGTTGATGGATGGGGGGCGTGGCAAGTGCATTGAAGAGACCAAAGAAACCAAAAAATCGAAATAGTAGATAAAACCAACACCCGATCTAGCCATCCATTCATTCATTATAGTACACGATGTTGTGGCTGTTGGACTTATTCTTAACATTTTTTATTTTTTGTTTGTATTTTTTTTGAGTGGTGCATGAAGAAGGCGGTGGTGTGTGTGTGCTTGTTGTAGCTGTTGCATTTGCATTTGCGGCTGTTGCTTCGTTTTGCCTTGCTTGCTGTTCAGATCCCATTCAAATGGATATATTGTAGTTTATTGTATATATAAGATATAGCTGTGATATTGCGTGCTGTTGTTGGTGCTGCGGTGCTTAGATATCGGTTTTACTTTATATATTGCTCTGTGTGTGTGGTTTTTTTATATATATTTATATATATATATATTGTATGTATATATATGGTATTTTAGCTTATCGCCAAACACACTGACTACATCTACAAATAGAAGAGAGAGAGAAAACGAGAAAAATATAGAGAATATTTTGTGATGTGGCAGAAGATTGTGCGATAATTCGGTGAAGAGAAACAAATTACAATATAAATGATATATTAACAAAGCGATTCGGTGGTTCTGTTTGCCCCCGAAATGGGATTGCGATTGCTGTTCTTTTATGGTTGGTTAGGTGTGCGTTTGTGTGTGTGTGTGCTTTTGTGGGTGTGCATTTGTGTATTTGTGTTCGTGTAAGCTTTTTGTCAAATTCGAGAGCTTTTGTCCGGAAATTTGATGGCTTATGTCCTCAATTATTTATCGAATTGATAGATTAGAGCTCTACCAAAATTGGTATTTCCTATTGGAAGCATTTATTAGAACAATATTTATGTGGACTTAGGGGTTCAAGCTTCCCATGGTAAGCACTTTGTAGAAATAAAACAGAATATGCTCTTCAAGTTATCTGGAGACTGTTTTCTGTACTAAAATGGTAAGTTAATCAACAAATGTCAGGCAAGTATTCTTTCTTAGTATTCTCTCTGGGAGTTTTCCCTTATGCAATCTATAATATATAGGCATACTTCTCATACATCTTCTAGCGAGAATTACGCTCATTGAAAGGTGATTACTATATCCATCTGCCTGTGCTACGTTCCGTTCCGTTATCAACGTTTTTCCCCTGGCTATAAATACCTCTGGTATATCTCTCCTATATATAATCTAAATATAACAATTTTCACATGGAATTCTAACCATTTGAGGTTTTTTTTTTGTATATCCAGCTATATAGCGTGATATATGAATAATCTGCCTCAGGCAACGCGTTTTTCCATTTAAGTGAATCCCACTGGCCATGAATAGATGATAGGGTAGTCCCCCTTTATCTGAGAATGTACATTACATGAATACACCCAGCTCTATGGCTCTATCTGTGCCCAACACCGAATATAAGTAATTATGATCCATGCACTTTAACCTTAGATATATCAGACATGTGTGTGGATTTGTTTATATAAAATCCCTTGGAACAACCCTGAATCGGAAGCATTTTGAATTAAAGGTCTTAAAGGGGTCAGGTCAGAGGGTAAGTAGGGAAGTTGCGACTCACCTGTGCTGGCGAAGATTATCACGCTGCTTGAAGTACTTGCCGCAGACCTCGCACGAGTATGTGATCTCCGGCGATTTGTGGGTGCGCTCGTGGATCATCAGGTTGTATGGCTTGGTGAAACGCCGCTGGCAGTACTTGCAAATGAACTCGCACTTCGGACGCATCTTGCGACGGAAGTCCGACCGGCAGTCATCGTTGTCGATTCGCATTACAGCAAACATTTTGACGGGCGGTATGTGCGGCTGGCTTCTCCCTCGGGTGCTTTTCGGTGACTTTTTCGGCGTATTGTACTCACTGTACTCACTGCTCTCTCTCTCTCACCTCACTTCACTCTCTGCTCTGGGCTCACACGCTCTCTCTCTCTCTTTGACTCGCTCTCTCGCCCAACCAACAAATGGGGGGACCTGACACTGACTGACTTGCTCGTTCTCACTCGCTCTCTCTCTCTCTGTCTGTCTGGCTGTCTGTCAGTGGGGGAGTTGCCGTGTGTTGTGTTTGTTTGTTGGAGCTTTTGCTCGGTGTACACTCTCTTTCGTCTAATCGCTATCTCTCGCCAGATAACACCGTTAATTGCGGTGAGTGTTGCCAGTTGGTTGGTTTTTTCCTGGTGAAATGCGGCAACGCTGCTTCCGTCAGACACTATCGTTTTTTTCTGCTGCTGCTGCTGCTGGTGCCGCTCTATCTGTGATTTCTCCCTATGGTGTTGTGGGCGTTTTGGGTGGGCCGTACTGCTGCTGCTGCTGCTGCTGTTGACTTTTTGGTTTATGGCGCACTTTAAGGCAAACACCTAAAAAACACAGAGACAAAAATATATAAAGTTAGCAACGCCTGCGACAACTTTTATGTGCCAATAAATTCAGTCAGAAAAACATATATGTATGTTTTGTATTGTTATTCCATCCGACAAGTTGTCTGTGTCCGCTTGGGTGCTCACGCAACATGAAATTGAAAATGACTCATTAAGCAGCAACGAGCAAGCAGCAACCAAATCCGTTGCTGAAACACGGTGTTGACATTTACAAATCACCACAGATGCCCCCCATACACCATATCCCTGCTCCATCCACTCTCGGATGGTAACCTTCAACGGGCCTTATGATAATTTGTCTCCAACCGACACCGACATTGATTGTTGTCTCTGTGTAGTGTCGCCTTTCGGCTCTGTTACGGACTGTACTGTACTGTACTTCACTTTATTTTACTTCCGCAAACACAATTGTCCAATTAGCTGTAGAGTTATCGTATGTTTGTGGATGAAACTATGAGATAACATGAGCCCATGATAAAGAAATGGATATTCTAATTAATTATAAATCAGTTTTCAAAAAATTCTGACAAAGTTTCGATGGATTGAAGATTAAAAATCCCAACATGTTTCCTCCTCCCCATGGCATACAATTTTTGGCACAACCGACTTCACTTGCTCAGCTTTCGGGCATTTCTTACAAAACTGAGTCATAACAATAATTCACCCCATTGGAGCTACTCCCCCGTCGCGTTATGGCCAAGTACAGTTGCCAAATACGCCCTGTTCTTGGCCACTTCATTAAGGTGGCGCTGTAACAAGTTTATTTTTAATTGGCGCCTTGCGAAATCGAATGAATATTTATGCCCAACGCTTCCCTTGGGATTCCTCGATCCCTTGGATTCCAGGGTCCGCGTCCGCATCCTCGCGGTAGTTAACAACTGTTATTTTTTATGTAATTTTATTTTTGTCATTTCGGCGCCGCTGGATGGCAGTTTTTGTTCTTTTTGGGACATATATTTCCCAGATTTAGTATGTCTCTGCCTTTGGGGATTGGGACTGGGATTCGGATTCGGATTCGGATTCGGGAATTTCTGTGCGAAACAAAAGGCAGCGCTGACTGGTAGCGACAAGCGTCTCGGCAAGGCCCGATTTCGATATTTATTTATATGTTATGGTGCTTTCAGCTCGCAGCTGGAGCACTTTTTGGGTATGGGTATGGGAACGGGTTGCCGGGTTGCCGGGTTCCCCGTGCTACCCGGGTACCCGATTCGGGATCGCTTCGCTTCGGTTCAGTTCGGTTCGGTTAAGGGGGAGCTAACGTTGACAACAAAAGCCAAACGTCACAGCGGGTGCTGCACCGGCCGCAGACGGTACGTAGTTATTGTCATTATAACATTAATGCCCACTAAACATATTCAAATTATAACACTGACTCTCTGGCTCTTTGCTTGTGTTGTGTTGGTGGAAGAGGTCCAGGTCCCCGGCTGAGTCCATGGCTGGGTCGCTGATCGCATTGGTCATGTCTGTCTCAGTCTACGTTTCGGTCCCCAGTCTCTCTGTGTCTCTGTGTCTCTGGGGGGACTCCTCCTCTGCGACTCCTCCAATGTTAATTTGTGTACACAATGTGGCGTCACATTGGCATTTTAACGCCGTTAATCATGCGACACAGGGCGCCTGCATAAGGCCATCCATTCGATATGGATTCTTTGACTCTGTCGCTCCGTCGCTCTGCCCCAGCCTCGCTTTGGTCTCGCATTTGGATTTGGATTTGGATTTGGCTGCGGCTTTGACTTCGACTTTGGCTCTGGGCTCTTTCAGCGTGGGCTTAAGTGGAGCACCATTAGCCACGGGTTACGGCTGGAGGTTAAGCACTCTATTTGGTCATTTGGTGGATGAGGATGAGTCGCAGATGATGCTGGAATTATCTGTAGTTGAAGCTGAAGGCTAAAGGAGTGGGATGTAGAGTGCAGATTTCCCTCCAAAAGTACACCCAAAAAATAATCATAAATTCGTTCTTTTAGCACAAACCAAATGCCACTTTCTGATCCACTTAACAGATCAGCATAATCTGTTGAAAATCCAAGCAAACAATCATGGCAAAAGCATCACACAATCTGGCCAAAATAATCTCAAATCCCAATGGGCGTTTCTTGGCACCTTCAGCCGTCAGCAGCTGACGACGAGGCGATCTCCAACTGTTAGTATTTGGCAACTGCGAATCCGCTTAGCCGCCAGAGACACAGAGCCACAGAGCCACAGAGCGAACACCCACAGATCGGAGCAGAGAACTGCCCAAATATTGTATAATAAACTGTTGTCCAACGCAAAGATAATCCCATTAATCCGCACTGAAAATAATTAGTGTTGTGAACACACGGAGAGATCTACCTTTGAGAGAGAGATGGAGAGTGATGGGAGAGAGACAGAGAGAGGGTTCACACAGCATGATCCTGACTCTGCCTGCCGAGCTAGTCCCAGTCCCAGTCTCAGTGCCAGTCTCAGTGCCAGTGAAGGGCATGCGAAAGGCGTTAATGCTGCGTGAAATTAGATTTGCAGCAGGGAAAGAGCCAGCGAACCAAATAAAAATGGCATGACAGCAACACACACAGGGAGAGAGAGAGAGAGCGATTATTCCATATCTGTGATGGGAAGAAGTGCAAAGTAAGTGCGACTGGAACAGCGCCTTCCACGAACCCACGAACGACACAGACACAGACACAGACACAGAGTTACAGTTTAACACCCCGACAGAGCCGTGCCAGAGATGAGATAAATCGTAGCGGTACGAACGATAACCAAAAAGTGACACACACGTCGAAGGACCGACCGAGGGACATGGTCAAAAGCGATTACCACACCACACTTCTCCTGTGCTCCTTTCACAAAAAAAAACTCTTCTTTCTCTCTTTTTGGAGGCGGACAGTGAGTTGGCAAGGTGCCATTAAAAATTACAGCCGAAAAGTGAAAAAAATATAAGAAAAAAAAAAAACGCAGGGCGAGATGACAATAAAGGGACGACAAAAGGCACCGAAACCCATTTGATACGAATCTAATTGTGCTAATGGCACAAAATTCCTGGGAAAAACACCCACACGGTGACCGAACAGAGCTGAGGGTTGGAGAGCAGAACCAATATGTTGCCGGTGGAAACAATTAGGATATGTGGCAGTGCCACTTCAAGTAGAACAAAAGGTGAATGCAACACACAAGAAAAGATGACCCCAAACAACACACCGCAAACAGACAAAAGGAAGAAGGATCGCATCTCTCTGATTCTCACTCATCTGCTGCCAAAAGCGAAACGGAAAGGAATGTGAAAGAAAGTTGATTTCTTATGGATCTCACAGCTCATATCTGAGCAGATATGACAGTCGGTCAAAGTCAGGCAAGATTAGGTGCCAGCCGATGTCCATTTACAGTAATCGTTTAACTAATTAGACTCTAATTGATGAGGCACAGCGTGTGGTCCAGACGAGGCCGCACAACAGGCAGAAGATCACAAAAAACCAGAAGGTTCAAAGTCAAGAAAGAAATGGGATAAACAGGATAAAAGATAAAGGAACCAACTATTCAGGAATACCTCAAAAATATAGTCTCAAAAGTCCCCTCTTGATTCATGCAACTTTTGCAGCCACATCTGTTAACCCATTCGACTCATTGGTATTTCATAATCCAACAAAAGGCGAAAACTTCATGGCACAATGCCTATGACTCACCATCTGGAAATTTGGCCAAATCTGCTGTTGCTGATGAACAGATCATCGCTCAACATTCCTGGCGATGATTCGCCTTGCTCGATTCGATGGTGCGTTCTGTGATTAACCTTCTCTAGGCTAGACCTTGTTTTAAGCCACAAGAAGTTTGCCTCGCTTCATGCTGACTCAGCTGTTGGCCAAGCTTTCAAGGGGGCAAGTTTTCGATTTGACCAATTGCCGACGGCTTTTGGTGGTGTGATTTTTTTTGTTGAGTGGAATTATTTCAGTAACTAGGAATACAGTTGGAAATATATAGCAACATTTGTGGGAGTTTCTGAACCTGAATATATCTCAAACGAATACGGAAAAGATTTTGAAATGAATCTGTGATGAATGCATAAACATAAATCATAATCTGACGAGAGTTTTCCTGCATCCATTTCAAATTTAAGCTGTGGGAAATTTCAATAAATTGATGCTTCATAATGGAAGATAAATAAAGTATATTTATTTTGCTAGAAAAACTTGTCCTTCAATGATAGAGGATCTGCTTAGATATTCTTCTAAAAGTCTAGTTTCATCGAAGAGAGACGAATAATTTGTGAATATTTTGTATTTCATCATAATCCCCAATGATGATGAAATTCAGTTCATCTTTATTCTTGCTCAAAAATGTATTTGTACAACTTTTGTTTTACTTTCATCTGCTAGATGCCAATAGGGAAATGTTCGATTTGCCGTCAGCCATTTTGCCAAATGGCGACACTTTCACACACGGACACAGACGCAAACACACGGACGACAAGTGACCGAAAAAAGCTCCATTTGCCACACGCACGCCATATTAGCATTAGACCAGCAGCTCTATCTCCCTCATGCACACACACACACACGCACACGCATGGAGAGAGCGAGAGCGAGAGCGAGCGAGAGGGAGAGGAAGAGAGAGTCACGCACCCACATTACGTGGTTGTCCAATGAAAGAGCGTAAAACTGGTAGCAGCCCGAAGCAACAAGTGAAGTGAAGACGGGGCAAGCAGAAAGCAAGCAAGAGGCAGAACAAGAACGAACACGAACGAGCGCCATTGCTACTGGAATTGAAATTCGAGAATAAAACTTACCCAATGGGAGAGAGCGGAAATGTTACGACGATGCTGACTGCTACTGCTGGGGAAACCAAACGGGTGGAATGCTGTGTGTTGGTTGTGGCAGCTGGAAGCTGGAATTACGCGACGGTTGCTGGAATCCGGTGGACTCTGTGGTCTCGAGTCACGTACTTAACGATGTGGGTCTGTATGGATCTGTTTGTCTGGGAATAGTTAGATCAGATCGCTGGCTGAGGCTGATGGCTGATCTCTTTCGTACGTCGCGAAGGAACTGACTGACTGAGGGAACGAACTACGCACTGCGCGGCACAAAGTTGAATGAATGAATGAATAACTGAAAGAAATAGTAGTCAACGCTGTTGCTGCCTGCTGCCTGCTGCTGCTGGCGGCTGCTGCCGTCTGCTGGCGTCGCTGCTGCGGCGACGCAGAAGCAGAAGCGGCAGCGGCAGCAGCAACAATCGCTCTGTCTCTGTCTCTGTCCGAGCGAGTGAGTCAGAGCATAAAATACCAGTAGTCCCGAAGCGGGTTCGGCTAAAAGAAGACAACAAAAAAAAACGCTTCGTGCTACTGCGCATGCGCAACACTTAAGCCGTCTCGCTCTGGCTCTCAGAGCTCCACACTCCTCTTCGGGCCTTGGTGTATGCGTGCGTAAGAGCGGAAGCTCTCTTTCGAAAAAGGGGTAACGGTCACAAAACGGTAGCCACAAAATGGCTACACTTCTAAGAGCTACAAAATGGCGGTGCGCTTACCTATCGAGCTGATTTCCCCGTGGTTTCTGTTGATATTGTACAATATATTCCACTGATCGCATATACCATATAGTCTTCCTTTGTGGCAAGAGACCTTCTTCTGCTGCCTCGACGGTAATATTATTAATAAAATATATTTCACTTCCGAACGCTTCTGTGCGCGAGAGTCAACTGCAAAGTTACGATCGAAACTTCAGGCTTGATGGGTTGTTGTAGCTTTTTTGTTGTGTGTTTTTTACCTTATTTTATTTTCAGTTGCTCACTCTCACTCTCCCTCCCGCTCTCACGACTGCGTGTGCACTGACGCTGTCCCGCTCTCACCTAAACGCTGTGAGCGTAAAACAAGTTTTGAGTGCGACTGCTGATTGGTTGTCCCGCGATTCTGCTCAAGAGCGAGTGCCAAACGAGTGGCAAAGAGTGTCAGAGTGTGTGCCACGTTCCTCTCCGTTGGGATTTTGAGTGTTTTCTGGGGCGTTACATGATTTGACTGTTAATTAGGTTTAAGTAAGGCAACATTTCAATTAGTCGCTGTGCTTAATGAGAGAAAGGTGAGAGCTTTTAATCGCTTAAGCTCTCTCCCCCCTCTCTCTCTCTCTCTCGCTCTATACACGCAGCTCTCTTTCTCTCTGCGAAACTTTCTTTCACTTAGCTTAGTGTCAACTGGGCGTGTCCTATTTTTGTGGCGCTCTGGGCGGCGCTCTGAAGCCTGTCAAGAGAGCAGCGCAACCGTATTACGCAGTTTCTTTCACTCCCCGTCTCGCTCTCTCTCTCTGACTCTGTCTCTCTTTTGCTGTTGTTCTTCTCCTGCTTTCAGCTCCATTTTGTTCATGTGTGTGGGAAACTTTTTGTTCGAGACATTTCCTTTCGACTTTTGCCGCCTCTTGCCGTGTGTGTGGCCTCTTTTGTAGATTGTCTGTTTGTCTTTATCTTTCTATAGATATAGATTCTCCCCTGGCTCTTCCTGCTCCTCTTCCTCCGCCTTCGTTTGCTCTTTCGCAGCGATTTCTCAATGGAGTCTCCCATTCACAAAATATTTCATTAACTTTTTACATTTGTTTTGTTAATCAAGTGTTTCGCCAAAAAAGGATTTGCTGGCCAATTTTTTAATTAAGTTTTCGCCTTTCGACATCGACATCCAAGCATCAATAAAGTTTAACAAATTATCTCTGTCTCACTGTCTCTGTGGCCCCCTCTGTCTGACTCTCAGTCTCTCTGTTTTTGGGCATTTTTAAGTGCAGTCTGTTGGCGGCATTCAATGGAGGCTCCAACTCCATTTGATGGCTTCATTTTTGCTTTTGTTTTTGTGTCAAATTTGCATATTTTAAATGGGCAATCACGACTCTCGAAAAGGAGACGCTCCGACAATTGTGAGGAGCTTCCTTATGGAGGCGAAACTAATTATGAAACGTCCACAGAAGACGCTCCACAAAACAAAAAGGGAGAACAAAAAATGAGAAATCAACTTGAAGACTTCATTTGGATGATGAAAACAATGATTGAGACTCCGCAGATTTATGGTAATTAATTGGTGGTTTGATTCACAAAAAGACTGAAATAAATGCCACAAAATATCATCTGAAATATTCGACATAACTCCTCAAGGCCCTCTCATCACACTTCCCTCCATTTTGACTCATCTAAAAAGTCTTCGGCTATGTTCTTTTAACCCATTTGAATTCCCATCGATCATCCGTCTATCAACTGCCCTCTCAAAGACCCTTCAAACCCATTCAAATGGACTACCCTTCCAGCCCGAATGCTTCAAATGACTTGCCACAACTTTCCCAATGAGCAAATCAACCGCCAAGAAGACAATCTCTCGACCCAACAGCCAACCACTGCCCCAGACAGTGCACAAAAAGTATTAAATTTCATTAATTGCCAAAATTAAAAAGGCAAACAAAATCAGGCAAGGCAACAGCAACAGCACAAGCAAAACAAAAAGAAAAAGAATAAAAAAAGATTGGTGAAAAATTAAAAATTCATACGGCAGCGATGCGGTCACATAAATTTAAGGGGAGCAGCCAACAAACCGAAAGCAGAGAGCAGACAGATGCAAAAAGAATTATAATAAATATATGTGCGAATACACGGAAAGAAATTTGATTAAATATTGATTGGAAGAAAACAAAATTAACTCCCTTTGAATGTCATAATTTTTTCTCTCTGCACAAATGGGAATCTGTTGAAGAAGCTCCAAGCAAATGCTAAAGACGTGGGCGTTCAATGGGCTCGTTTTGTTTGGGGTTTTGTTTTTGTTTTGGTTAATAAAAATGAAACTGGACCGCAGCCACCGCAGCAAGGCGTTGTCAACAGTTGGAGATGATGATACGCGATGATGAGAGGAGGCTGATGACGAGACCAACGGCCCTCGGAGCTGGGCTTCATCTTCATTTGGCACACGGTAGTTGTCTCAGTTGTCATTTAGCCGCAGCTCTCATTCTCATTCAAGGTGTACTGGCAGCCATTCGCGGCGAAGAGCTCTTTCTCAGTGTCGTGACTTGATTTATATTGGCCCACACTTGGGCCCCAACTCGGGGACTTGGGCTATACATAAATTTGAATTATGGTACCCCCGCTCGTAAATTCGTCGGATGATGTTTCTATTTTAACAGTTAGTCAGAGGTAGGAGTCGATCGAACGATCTATCAATGAACTCGCATCGCAGCTGAATGAACTGCCCCGAAACCTGAACACAAATCCGATTGATCGAATCGAGTCCCTCATTTGATATGCAGTTTCGATCTTCAGTTTATATGCTAATTTCCTGGCTGGTTCGGTTTTCAGTTTCAATTTTTAGATGTCCATTGTGTTTGCATTTTCGGTTGGCTTTTTGTTTTGCTCGTTTTTTGTTTGTATTTTTTATATAATTTTAATTTTTATTTCGTAAATTTGAAATTTTTTGTCACTTCTGTGGGAGCAGCAAAGGTTTTTCCACTCTCCACCGACTGGCTGGCCGAATGGCTTTCGAGCTGTTGGTCGTTTTTTATTATAATTGGGTGCGGTTCGGTGTGGTTCGGTAGTGTTTCTGCAGAACTCTATGAATCGACGGCTATTGTTTAGGCACACACACAGCTCTTTTTGTGCGGCAGCAGCCATAGAAATTAATAAAATTTATGGTTTATTTGGAATTCTTGTTCGTTTTTTTCTTCGGTCATTAATTCGCCATAAAGAAGTAGGCAAAGTGTGTGGCAAAAGCTTTTAGAGTCGAATGACATGGGGGAGAAGCTGCGCATGTTCATTGGAAGTTGTTTCGGAATGATAACTCTATTGGGAGCAGAGTTATGATGCTGTGGTGGGGTTTACAGCTGAGTGGGGATTGTTTTCTTAGTGCAGATTTCTCTCTGTTTGAGTACTTTTATGCCGACACTCAAATGGAAACTCTTAAGTTGAAAATTCTGTGGAAACTCATTTAACACTTAATCCCTTTTGCACTTGTTTTCATTCATTCTTATGCATCGTAACTGGGCTCCCCCATAACACTTATCGCTGAACCATTTATCTCAAAAGGTGTCAACCCATGTCTTCTAGATTACTATGTATCTGGCATACCCTCAACCCATCTTCTGCTTTGTGTTTAAAAACCTGTAAATTGTCCTATTTTCATGGGAAGACAATCGAACTGCTATACAAATTACCAGCCCACATCTTTTGTAAGAGTTTTCACTTTGATTCCAAGTGATTTACGATCGATTTGGTTCTTTGATGGTGTCCTAAGCGCCACATGAACTTCCGTTCCCTGCCAGAGAGGTGTCGCCCGCGTGGGTGTCTCTCTGTCAAACAAGGAGAAAAAAACCAAATTCAATTCGGAATTAATAGTCGAGGAGGAGGGTATCCCATGAGACACCGAATACGAGACCGAAAAATGTTTTATTACATTGATTTGCATTTAAATCGATGTTGGCGGCGGCGTCATTCATTCTGTTCGCGTCCGAGTGGGGACTGAGATTATTCCATGAGCAGGGGATAGACCGATGATTACGGGCCCAGCGAGCGGTCAAAATGTTGACAATGATCCCAGATATCCCACACCAAGAAGTCGGAATCGAACTTGGACTCGAACCGATTCAAAAACTTGGAAGTTTTCAATGAATTTGTCTGTTTCTTTCTGGTTGTTCGTTGCGATGATCGTCTCTTGGGGTTGGTTCTTCTTTAAGATGATCTTCTGCTACTTTTTGTATAATTTCTCTTCTCTGCTGATTTTTTGATTTCTAATTCTTTTGGAATCCTCTTTCCTCTCAGTTTTATTCTCTCATGAATGAACGCGTCGAAGTTTCTATCCTTTCAGCTCGAAACTTTTTCTCCCTGTATATTAGATCATAAATTATTGGATATTTTGGATATATGACAAAACAAATAATATTCGTTCTTTTTCCAGTTCGTTTTTTTGTTTTTTTTTCGGGCTTATGTCGTGCTTCCAGTAGCCACCCCGCTGTGCAGGCCAATGCCTCCCTGCCCCTGTGCTTAGGCAAAATTTATTGGTTTTTTCATTTTTATTGAGAAATTACAAAGAGTCCGTGGTGAAGCGGGGGACAGAAAATGAAGAAGGAAGTAAGGAATCTCAGGGGAGTAGGTGGCGCCTGGCTTTAGAGGATTAGAGACAAGCGCTTACTCACTCGCACAAAGAGGCTGAAGGAATGGGCAAAAGAAGAGAGAATCGGAGTGAGACAGGCACACATACAGAAAGAGAAAGAGACAGAGAGAGAGATCGATCCCCCTCACGATTTATGCCCGCAAAATGCTTTAGGGCACACACAGCATATTTCTGTTCATTCAAAGTAAAGTCGAAATCGGGCAACAGGTTTATCTTTTTGTTGTCCATACCCACAGCCTCCTCCTCCCCCTTGAAAACAATGAGAAAATGAAACTCTTCGGCAAGGCACTCGCTCTGGTCGCCCAGCAACAACAACAACAACAACAGCAACAATGAGAGCAACCAACAGCTGCCTCCCACCAAGTGCTGCTCACGAAGCGCAGAGCCCCAGCCAAGCCGAGCCGAAGATTGGAGCCGAAGCCCACAAACCTTAGCCGAAGCCAGACCCAATCTCGAGCTGGGCCGGCACTCGTTCCACTCAGTGGAATGGCATCCGAATCCTACCGTGGGAAATGAACAGTAGTCGTTTCGTTGAGGCTTTTTGCCAGCAGCAGCCAGCAGCAGCAGCAGCGGCAGCAGCCAGTTTGCTGACGTTCCACCTCCTCCGCTTCCTCCTCTTCCTTCTTCCTCTCTCGCATCATCTGCTGTTGCTTTTGTTGTTGCTGTTGCTGTTGCTGTTGCTTTGAGCTTTTCGCAATTTCTCTGCAGCGTTTTGTTTTTGGTTTCGCTTCGTCGTCGGTCGGCGCGGCGCATATCAAATAAGCCTAATAATAATGCAATTTATGTAAAAGAGCGAAAGATGTACACAGAGAGGGGGAAGAAGAGGAATAGTGTGCTCTATTTTGTGAAGAGAGAGCGGGAGAGAGAGTGTGTAGCTCTTGTGTAGTTAGTGGGGAGGAATATCAATTTGTTTGCTATGAGGAGTGCAAGGAAATTCTATATACTATTCTGCACTCAAAGGAAGCTTTCACTGCTTATAAAACCCAAATTGTTCTTTGGCTGTAAAACTCCTGTGCACTTCGATTGTCTTCCCATTTGCGTGTTGCCGTTTAGGGGAAAAACCTTTTAGCACCTAACCTCTGGCAGGCCGCAGCGAAAATCACAACAAGTTGCGGGCCAAAACCGCACGCTCTCCATCCAGCCAGAGTCCAGTGTACAGTGTACAGTGTACACACTGTGTCGATGCCGGGCGGCTTATCAGTGCGAGTGGGCAAACAAAGGATGCGCGTGCGGGGCAGGCAACACCTTCCCTTCTGGATTGCGGGTTGCCAAGGCTCGCTCTCGACGGCGGCGGCTCTCTGTCAAGTAGTACGTGCGCAATGGACGATAGTGCAGCAGCTATACAGCTAGCTCCCTCGCTCTCTCACTCTGCCTTTGCTCTCACCGTTATCTTCTCGATCGTAAAGGATCGCGCGCATGCGCATGCTTATATTTGTGGAAGGAGCAGATAACAAAGAGGTGATAATTGACCGCCCTATTGGCCTTTGCAACCAATTACGATACTTATCAGCGCGCGGCAATCAAACTAAACAGAGTCCCCGGCAACATTTCTCGGGCGGTGCAACGTCGGTGGTCCCACTCCCACACCCACACCCACACCCACTCTCTCTCTCTCCCTCTCCCTACCTCTCTCTGGATCACTAATCGCTGGCCAGATCGAACCTGAAACGAGAGCAGCGCCGCACACCCATGCCCAAGGTGTGAAAAATACCTAAAACCAGGCTCCGGGACGGGGTTTGTGTATGCTAAGCAGCCGCATTTTCACTTTATCAGTTGTTTGCCTGGTCACCGGCCTGTCCCTGGGCCTGGCGCACCACCGTTTCCTGATCGTGGGCATGCACCAGCAGGGCCACCTCCAGATTCAGTTGCGCAATGTCCTCCTTCAGTTTGAGGATCGATTTCTTGATCTGTTGCACGGAACCTGGAATGATACGAGGGATTAGTAGGGGAATGCATCGTGTGTGGTTTATAGGACGAGGATTACAGCTGTGATTTGGATTCAGAAATGGATTGCAAATAGGGGAAATATTCTTATCGCAGCAGATTGAGTGTGAAAAGTGAATGTGTGAAAAAAGGTAAATTGTTGGCTGGCAGAGATTCATTCTTCCTTGAGATATTTCAATTATTTTCATATGCATTTCCATCTGATACTGTTTCTGATACTCACTTCCATCGGACATAACCTGGCCGCGTCGCTCCATTTCCTCCTTCTTGAGCTCCTGCTCCAGCATCACCTCATTCAGCTGAGCCAACTGCTTCTCGGAGTCCGCCTGCACCTGGTTCTGGGCATACTGAATCGTGGATAGCTCAATGGACAGCTCCTTGAACTGTTGGATCAGCGGCTGCAGCTCGTTGTTCAAATGCTTCTCGCGGCTCTCGACCTTCTCCAGGCTAAAGGTGAACTCGCTGTGCAGCTTCTTCAGCTGCGCCTGCGTGGTCTCCGAGGACTCGTTGATGCTGTTCTTGAAGGCATCCATCTGGCTGATGTGGGTGCGCCAGTCGCGTGCATCCGCCTTCACAAACACCTTCAGATGGGGCAGCACTCGCTCCAGCTCGAGGCGCCACTCCTGATGGTCGCTGAGGCGAGCGTCGACCTCTTGGGCCTGCTCGTCGAGAGCCACATCTATGGATCGCTTCTGAGGTCGGTTCAGCCAATTGAGTTGCCTGAAATTGTGCGCCTCCAGCTCCAGATCGCTGTCGTCGCTGAGGCCGGCTGCGTTTTGTTCGTCCTCCAGCTTTTCCAGTATGATTTCCGCATTGTCCTCGAGGTAGTCGCCCAGGAATTCCTCCTCCTGCATTTTCTGCACCCGCTGATAGCCCACTTTGGCCACCTTGCAGGCCTGCGTGGAGAGGATGTCCAGGACATTGAGGCAGATGGGTCCGGCACCGCGAATCAGCTTGTTGGGCGGAAAGTCCACAGGGACATCCTGCCAAGAGGGAAACAATTAGCGAAGGGGAAACCTTTACCGCTTTCAGCCAACTTACAATCTCCTCCAGCAGTTGAATAATATTCGCCGCCACTGTATTGGGATCATCGTATTCCTGGGGCCGCTCCATGTCCTTGCCGAGCTTCTTGCAGAGCCACCAGCAGATGAGGGTGAACATGTAGAACTGCTCCCCCGGATTGGTGGCCTTCACAAAGTAGAACCGCGACAGCGGCTTCAGCTTGAACTCCTTCAGCAAATGTTTTTCATAGTTGAGTAATTTCAGTTTCTCCAACAAGTCATCCGACTGGAAGTTCTGCAGCTGTTGGGTTTTCTCCTGGCCATCATCTTGCTGCATCTTTTAGCAGTTAGTAAACTTTACTCGGAAAAACTTGAATGCAAATGAAAAATGTTTGTTTTTAAATGAAGGAAAGTTTCCATGGTAACCGGGAAAGCAGCAAACAAAACGAGAGCGCAGCTGTGGGAGTGGCTGTATGGAACATAAAATAAATTAGGGAAATTTTAGATTCAATTTGAACGGGTATAAACTGTGGCTTGTGTTATATTATATAAATTTACTTTTTTTAAATACATTTTAAATATTGCGCCCCTCATATTGCCACTAGATGGAGCCAGTTGCAGCTGTTAGAATTGCGTCTAACAGCACATGTTGAAAGTTAACATTTATCGTGGCGAGATATTCTCTCAGAATGTAGGGACTTGTTGGCCTCTTCTGTTAGAGGCTGATATTCGAATTGATTGAATTGAATAACATATTTGTGGCTGGACAATCAGCTGTTAAAATTAAAACAAATATCAAATCAAATATAAAAAGAAATATCAAAAAATGCCAATTGGAACATACCACTTACCTCCAATCAGCATTTGTTAGTGCTTTTCCTTGGTATATTTCAGGTATATTTCGCCAGCTGGTATATATTTGAGGGCCAAGCATTAATACGCGGTCACACTGTGCAGCATACAAAAACAAAATAAAAATAGAAAAATTGAAAAATAGTAATATAAAAAAACAATGGATCTCCAAGTAATAATGCAAAAAATGATGCAGGACTGGAACAACTATGGCTATGGCATGGAGTTGGCACAGCATCCCTTCGACCAATTTCCACCAAATGGCATGGCAGAGCAGGCTCCAGCCCAGGAGGAACCAGAGGACGACGAGGACGAGGACGATGATGAGCAGCGCACGCTGTTCTGTGGCAATCTGGACGAGCGCGTCACCGAGGAGATCCTGTACGAGGTGTTCGTGCAGGCAGGACCGCTGGAGGGTGTACGCATTCCCACGGACAACACGGGGCGGCAGCGCAACTTTGGCTTTGTGACGTACCAGCGAATATCCGCGGTTCCCTTTGCCCTAGAGCTGTACCAGGGCTTGGAGCTGTTTCAGAAGAAGGTGACCATCAAGCAGCAAGGAGCAGACAAGGCAAGGCCACCGCAACCACCACAATCATTTGGACAAAGTCGTTTACGGAATCCGTTCATGAACGAGCAGCCCGCACCCATGCCCATGGACCCTGGAGCACACCGCCACGCGCGTCACAGCTTGCACGGGGCCAGGCCGTACGATCGAAATGCTGGACAGAACAATGGCATGTACAATAATGGGGATCTGCGTCGCCGCTCCGACAGCTCAGTGATGGATCGCAATCGGCCGAGAGCACACCAGCATCCGCAGCCGCACCATCAGCACGACCGACGCTTGGACCAGCGCAGCAACAACAAGCGGAGGCTGCTCTGAGGGCATGCCCATAAAATCGATCTAAGCCGCTTCACTTACAGAAAAAAATGTTTTTAATAGTCTTTAAGTAATCGCCTTAAGAACATTCTACACAAATAGATAGAAAGTAAACCACACACAACAAACACATTCATCTATGAAATAAGCATTCCATATGAAGTGTCTGTCTACCTTGAATAGAGTTTAAGCTGTACAAAGATGCAGATTGTTTTCCCTACTAACGTGCTATGCTCCTCAGCGTCTTCTCCACATTCCGATACGTGCGCGCTGGTATCACCTCCAGCAGCAGTCGCTGGTAGCTGCTGTGCTCGGAGAGCGCGCGGAACAGCGACTTGGCATAGCTGCGCGTCTCCAGGCTGCCCTCGAGCAGCAGATTGGCGCCCACCACAAAGAACTTGTCGCGATGGTCCCGCCCCATGGCGTAGATGCGATCACTGCCCAGCCGCTCGACGAGTCGGAACAACAGCTTGGCCGTGGAGGTGCGCACGAGAGCGTTCTGATGCTGCGCACCCTTGCTGGAGAGGATATTCAGCACCTTGACGGGCTGCGCGTGGTCCACCATGGACTCCAGGGCGTGCGTGGCATCCGCGCGTATAAAGCGATTCGTGTCTGCGGTTCGATGCAGCAGCGCACACACCAGATCATCGCACTCCTGCTCCAGATACTTGGACTTCAAGCTGAACAGCTCGGCGGCCGCTTGGCAGGAGGCCCGAGCCACCTGGGAGCGCAGATTCCGCACCGAGCGGGTGAGCTGGATGCAGGTCATGTGCATGTGGCTGTCCAGAAACTCCGCGTGGCAGCGTATCAGCCGCACCAGACTCTTCAAGCCCACAATGTTCAGCTCCCAGTTGCTGGAGTCCAGCTGGTCAAAGGTCTTGAGTAGGGCCTCGCGTGGCTTCTCGAAGCGCGACATGTTCTGGGGGAACAGTTCCGCCTGCGAGATCTTGATGGCCTGCTTCACGGGCGAGACACGCCGCTGGCCGCGCAGGAAGTACGAAGTCTTTGACTTTTGCTTGAGCGGCGTGTGCTTGGCCTTTCCTCTGACAGCAATGGCAGCGATAGCACTGATGTTGCCCAGCTGCGAGCCCGACTGCGAGGTGTTGTCTGTGGTGCTGGTGCTGGTATTATCCAGGGATCCCTGCTTCGAGGCAGGGCGCGCCCCATAGAGTGACTCCAGGGAAATGCTGCGCGGCTGCAGGCCCAAGTTGTCCGACTTTAAGCTGAAGGAACTGCGTGCTGGCTCCACACTTTCTGCCTGTGGTTCAGCCTCCAACTGCTCCACCGGCGAGGAGTCACTCGGTGATGCCTGCAGCTCATGCTGCACCTCTTCCACCACCACAAAGCTGTTGCTGCCTTCAATGTCCTCTTCGATGGGCAGCGACTTGGTCGATTGTGCTCTTGAAAGCTGCGGGGACGCGTCCTCCAGCTGCGTTTTGATGCTCTCCGTTTTGCTGTGCAGGCTGTTGACGCTCTCGTTGCGTTTGAGAGTGTCCTCCTGGCGCAGTTGCTCCGCTTCCTCCTCTATGTCTGGAAGTGGATTGAGCATTGTAATACATAAATCTTGCTTGGGTAATGTAATTCCTACTTGATACAATATCATCCACCACGAGCTCGCCAAAGGTCTCCACCGCATTGCGCTCCAGACTGAGAACTTCCAATTGTTTATCCACGCTTTCGGCACTCCGCGCGGCACTCGCTGGTCGTCGCTCCGTCTCACAGTGGCTGTTGCTCGACTTGGCTGAGGCTGTGGACTTTTGGGAGTAGCTCGTGGACTTTACGGACAGCGGTGAGCCATCCGTGGCACCTTTGTTCGCTTCCGACTCCGCGCCAATGTGAACGCTTGTACTGGGAAAGAGATAATAAAGAGAGTTGGAAAATGGAAAATATTATATGGACAACTTACAACTCCTTGTAGGGAATCACAGCATAAACATTTTCTTGTGCACCATCTGCCGGTGGCGGAAACACTTCCCAGGTGGACTTATCATCGACCTGCTGCTGCTCACTCTCTGCAACAATTTGCATCGATTTTCTGTACTCCGCAGTGTCCGTGCAGCAGGTGCCACCAGGCGGCTGATTTTTGTCACCACTCGTACAGAGAATAACCCCGCAAAGTGCTGAATGAACCTCGGCTGCCTTTTGGCAAATGTACGACCAGCCGGAGTGTAGCAGAGTGCGTGTACGAACCAGCAGACTGGCTGGCTCTGCGCCGCAGGAAAATGCATTCTGCATTTTAGGGAAAAGGCCACGACACTGCCTGCCTCAAAGGAACATTGAAGACCAATGCGTGGACTGACGTTGAGCAACTACTTCAAGCAAGACCACTGTGCAGACTGTTTGGCAAGTCGCTTTGACCATTGGCTAACTGGTTGACTGCCTGACCCCACAGCTATTCAGGTACTTTTGTGTATTTCCCTACCAGGAATCCACAACAAAGCCCCAGAGTTGCAAATGGAAAACAGGACATTGCGTTTTCCACGTATTCACACACACACACACAAAGGTGGGAACCCCCCGCACCAACCCACTGGCCAACTAGCCAAAGGAAAAGCCAACGCAAAAGGTCGCGGAATGGTCTTAAGTGGCAAACTAGCGAGGAACTAGCCTCGGCTCTGACCAGTCGCTCGTTTGCGGTTAGACACTTCGTTCCAAACGAATTTCTTAGTCTTCTTCGGGTGACTTCGTGTGCCGAAGTCTGCCATGTGAGAGGGCTGTGGGCACAGGTGTGTGTGTGTGTGTGTGTGTGTGTGTGTGTGTGTGTGTGTGTGTGTGTGTGTGTGTGTGTGTGTGTGTGTGTGTGTGTGTGTGTGTGTGTGTGTGTGTGTGTGTGTATGTCTGGAGAGTTGACATTTTCACCAATATTCCCAAATAGATCGGAATACATAAATACATACATATGTACATATTTACATACATTTTTACATATTCCTTACACAAATTCTAAACGAAGTTTCTTGACGTAAGCACAAAGAATTCCTTGGCCATCACTCCTCACTCTGGATCCACATAGCCAGAACACAAAGGAAAATTGATTTTCTTGGCCAGCCAGATGCGTCCAGTGGCCAGTGGTCGCTCACTTCCAATCAAATAATGCCCCTCATCAGCCTTAAAGTGCAGCAACGCGCTTCCTACTGCGCATTTAAATTATTTAGGTTAACTAACGCGACACCTTTAAGCGCCTTTAAGAGCTCCTTTTTGGCTGTGAGTCACAGGTGCGTGTAGCCGGCTGCCGGCTGATTTTGCGGTCTAATGGTTAACCCGCTTCGGGGGTTCCCCCACATCTGGCAGTTGGGTCATTCAAAAATGTAGGTTAGCATTTGTCAACGTAGGTGGGACGTGGCAAGGGGCAGAGACTGAGCAGTGTGGGGTTCATTTAATTGGAGGAATATGGTGGCAGAACTTACTCTGATTTTGATTCCCTGCCCAACTGCTGTGCGGATTGTAGATTATCTGTGGAAAAGCTGCGCTGTTTCTTGTGCATTTCGCCATCTAAAGAGTACGAGGAATAAAGTTACGAATACAGCTCAGAGATATGTTCATCCTTGCCTTGTGCCTGGCCAGCGTTTCGTGTTCGGTTGCTCTGCTGGGCGATGGTAAAGGAGTGCTGATGCTGCAGCTTCTTGCGCAGCATTTGGCTCTGCTGCGTCGACTTGGGGTTCGTGTAGCTCACCTTTGGATATGCCTGCCCATCCATGTTGTAGGACGTGCTGGAACGCTGCATGCTACGCATAAAATTGTTCACAAAATCCGTGTGCTGATGCATGGCGGGGAATCTGCAAGAAATAAACATTCATTAAACGATGAAGGAACTCTGCACGGACTGCTGCATACTCTACCTCGAGTTGGGTGCCGCAAAGTGACTGCCAGTGCGGCCTGTCAGCTGTATAAAACTGCCAGTGCTGCCACTGCTGCAAGTGGTTGCCGTGCTGTCAGTGCTTCGGCCATCCATCGAAGTGTCTGAGCAGGTTTTGCCCACCATGCGGCGATCCATGAGGTTGCCTACAGTTTGGGAAACATACCTTAAAGGAATCTCTAGCAATTTATTAAGAAAACTCACCATGCATTGTCCTATTGGCGCCAAAACTTAATCTCTGAGAAAAGTCCTGAGGGATAAGGAATATTTGATTTATTTTTGTGGAGCTTTTGCCATTGGATTAAACTCACATTGGGACTGGGACTGGTCATGCCTAGGGTTTCTGGCGGAGATTGGAAGGAATGTCTATGCAGATTCTCATTGACGTGACTAAAACTGAACATAAAATGAAGAGCTATCAAAGCTGCTTATAGGTAATCCGCTGCTCACCTGTGGAGTGTCTGTGCGCTGTCTTTTGCCTCTGCACCTTCCTGGACCCCACGCTGTCTGCTTGCGGCACGCATGCGACGCCGCTTGATGGCATTTGGTGAGGCTGAGCCATCGCCCTGATTGATCCAGTCCACATCCGCGCCACGCCGGTTGCCGGGCGTGTCCGTTTGATTGAAGACAAACAGCACGGAACTGTCCGGCGTGATGATGGGCAGCTGCAGGCGGGACAGGCGCATTCTGGCAGCCTCCAGCATGGGCGGACCGAGCTCCACGCCTGCAGCCATTTCGGACACAATGGCCAGCACCTGCTTGACCGAGGAGATGTCAGCCAGGACGGCAAGCACCTCCAGGGCAGCCTGACGCACGCGTCGCTTGCGATTCAGCGAAGAGTAAATGGTCTGTGCCGTGAGGAGATTAATGTCAAAGCAGGTGCCGGGAAAAGTCATCAACGCGAAAATGGACATTTGGAGGGCATGATCACGGAACTGTGGAGCAAGAACAAATCGTATTAGCAGCTGTTGGCATTTCGGGGTCCAGTCATAGACTCACCTTTGAGCTCTTGGCATGCATAAACTCTGGCGCTGTCAGCTTGGCCACAATTGTGCCCGCTGGCAGTCGCTGCATCAGCGCCTTGCACACTCGATTGGCTCCCGCGGTGCCCTGGCGACACAGTCCCGTCAGGATCTGCAGCGTTCGCTCCTCCAAGTTGTCCAGCGGCAGGCGTGTAATCAGATTCACCAGCAGCTCACGCTTCAGCTCAGCCACCTCAAAGTGTCGCTCCGAGGAGAGCAAAGTGCGCAGCAGACTGTCCAAGTACGGCTGCACCTGAGCCAAGTTGCTCGAGGAGCTGAGGGCGAGCTCCAGATGGGCAAAGCCCTGCAAGCGATGCCGCCAGTCCTGTGCGGAAAGAGAAGCAATAAATGGAAAGTGTTTTATTGCTACTAAATTTTCGCAAATTAGATCTATTCATGCAATGCAAATATTTCCCCCATAAAGTGTTTGTTCAGTTGCCAAACTTTAGATAGTTCCCAAGACATTGCCCGAACCCATGCCATTGCTGGTTGAGTTTTTGCTTTGCCCGTTTTGTATTTGGTACGCGCTATAATTTCGGTTAATGTTTTTCTTATATTTTTGTGCTCGAACTGACCCACTTCCTGGCACGCTCTGCACAGTCCCACAGTCCCACAGTCCCAGTCCCGGTCCCAGCCGGAGGACGTTGGTCCTGCTATTTTATCGTCGCATATGCAAGCTGTGGTGTGAGTGATGGGTTCTTGTACTCGTTCCGGCAAGCTGCCGCTGCTGCTGCTGCTGCTATGAATATCGCGTGCACTTAAATGATTGACCGTAGGACTCCTCTTTGGCACTCCACTATGTAGTCGCTGCTGCTGCTGCAATCCAATACCCATTCCGCATGGATTCCGCATAACATGCAACTAACTATTACCGGAATTCCCAAGTTGCTCTTTTTCCACTCAAAAAGTTCAGCTTGATAAGCGGCACATCTCAGCCGGCGAGTAGCAGCATGATTTTGTGCTTTTAACTTTAACTTTCAACTGCTGACTGACGCACATTGACGTGGAAACCTTAAGAGGTTTTTCCGCCCAAGAGAAAGTGGCAAGAAATTGGGTGGATTTGCCCAAATAATTTGTTGGCTTTTGAAATGGAAACGTCTAAAATTAATAGGTCATTGATACTCATGTGGGGGCTCGTTCCGACGCCCAGCCATGATTCGCTTTTGTTTTCCCCATCGTCATCGATATGAGTGAGTGCAGGGGGGGGGGGGCAAGGGCTTATCGCTGAAATTTTCATTAGCAAGGGGGTCGAAGCAAAGCGAGTACGGAGCAACAATAATAATAGCAGCGCCAGGCCACACGTCGAAGGTGGAGTTGGAGCTGGGACGATGCGTGTCTCGTACGTAATAAAGCCCAGCGCTGGCGGTGGCTGCCATTATGAAGGCAGAATTATGAACGCATATGAAATTGAACATATCCTAGTGACCCAGTTAGAGCACGGAGTGGAGAGGGGGCACAGGCGGGTGGGTTAGCGTGTGGTATAATTTCATTGTTTCATTTTCGGGCAATATACAACACTGTTTGGTGTGCAGAAACAATTACCGTTGGAGCATGCTAAATTTGGACAACAATTCGACTGCAATTATGGCGACAATCGACACAGTTTTCGCAACTTACCCCAGATCTGAGATTCATTAGAGTTTTATAGTTGACAATGTCCAGATCCTCCCAGGACTTTGGGGTCACTGGCGACTCTGCTGATATGATGGAGTTGCTGCGTGCTCGCTTGGTTTCGGTAGGGGTTGGAGAACGCTCTGCCATATCCTCGCTGCGACGCTGTGAACGCGGCGAGGGATCCCGCTGAAGATTGTGCAGCACTTCGATTTGTTTGTGCGGCACCTTGGGACTTATGTTGTTGCTGCCCGCTGGACTCGTGCTGCGACTGCGGTAGAGTTGCGGGGAATGCGGCGATGGAGTCTGCTTGGAGTCCACTTCTTGCTGTTTGGAACTCGGGCTGGGACTGGGACTTGTCGTTGGCTGATCCGCTTGCACTTGGCTCTGTGCTCGCACCGACTGAGAGCTGTATGGGCGTGGCAGTGGCTTGGTATTATCGTAGGGTATTTCCACAACCAACGCTGAGGTCTTGCTGTCACTTGGTAAGCTCACGGGAGGTTCATCCTCCAACGGAGATTGCAGCGTGGCGCCCGAGGATTCATCCAGGGCTATAACAATGGGTTGAGCTGTTCGCTTGGGATTGCTGGTAGCTGCATCGCTGTCCGGAGTGCGCATTTTCACTACCTCCCCACCAAATGTCACTCGCTTCAGGCCCCGCGAGGGCGTGCTGGGCTCGGATTTGTTCTCCGTTCCCGCCGCAGCAGCTGGAGGCTCATCCAGTTCAGAGTCGCTGATGACCTGTACGATGCCTGCAGCCTCTCGCAGATCCTGGTGGGAGGATCTACTGGCACTCGGCAAAGCGCGGCAAACCAGCTCTTTGGTCTCCATTTCTTTGGAGTAAACTCGCGCTGGACTGTCGGACTCCTCCGTCTCAGTGTCCGCCTCGAGCAGTCGCATGGTGACGGTGTCATCGTTGATCTGGATTTCCGTTTCCATTATCACCTTTCCCTTGTCCGAACAACTGGCCTGCTGCAGCTGCAGCGAAGCGTCCAAGGGGTGACTGCTGCTCCTCCAGCTCTGCTCTCTGGGCAGTGCCCGCCAGGCGCCCGTTTTGACTTCTCCCAGGCGATTCTGCTTCTCAGACACTCCGTACACCTGACACAACTGGTAGTACTTGCTGAGGGTGGTGTGTCCGCCCACCGTGTTCATAATGGCTTCAAATTCGTGGACGCCCAGGAGCTCTCGCATCTTGGACAAGACCTTCAGCGTGAGCTCCTGCTGCGGCAGTTGCTCCAAATGTTGCACCACACGCTGCAGTGCCTGCTGCACGATAAAATGCCGCTGGGGGGTGTGCAAAATCGATTGGAGTATGGCGGGCAGTGAGAGCAGAACGCCGCAGCTGAGCCGCCCGTGGTCCGAGTCCATGGGGGACAGTCCCGTGTCGAGTATCCTGAGGACAACCGATTCGGGTACAGCTGTTTCCGCCAGATACACGCGCAGGCAGTCGAGTGCTCCCTTGCGAACGGTGGGCGCCTGGTGGCCCAGGTTCTCGACCAGCAGCCCGATCAGCTGATGCTCCTCCATGTGGCTGTCGGCGCGGTCTTGCATCACCACAAGGACATCGACGAGCACTCGCAGGGCGTGCTGGCGCACCTGCCACTCGGGATCCTGCAGCCGCTCATGGAACTCGGCAAACATGGCGCTGGGGCTAATGGTTTCCGGCAGGCGGCGTGTGCGAAGAATATGCTCCCACAGGGGTGTCAGTTGCACAGTTGCACCACCCATCGCCGGGGCCTCCGCTCGTCGTTGCATTTTCGGCTGGGTGTGGAGCCCAGCCCCAGTCTCTGACTGATTGTTATTCTTGTCCTTGACTTCACTGGCAGCGGCACCACTCACATAAGTGACACTCTCGCTGTCCTCGCTGTTGTAGTCACTGCCATTGGCCGCTGACGTTGCTGTGGAAGCTATAGGGAGCGGCGCATTGTTACTGCTGCTATCTTTGCGTTCCAAAATTCGTCGAAAGAACATGCTGCTCCTTCCCACTTTACTGCCTGCAATTATCTGACTTGCACTGCCTTTGGTTGCCTTTGGTCTATTCACTTGGATTTTAATTTTTAATTGTCACGCACGCTGGCATCCGGTCCGAAATGTCCTGTGACTAGGGGCAATCCCTCTTCATTTCTTACTTTTTTTCAGCCACAACATTAACTTTCAACTCGCTAGCAACGACTGGGCATATTACTGTTTGCTGACTGCTTTTGTAGCCAACGCTGGAGCTAGAACATTGAGCGCCGTTGCTCTGCGCATGCTCTACGGGCCGTTACTCTCTGCCTCGATTTGCCGCTTTGCTCTGCTGCAACAGTTAGTGTCCAACCACCAACATTGCACTTGGCTTAGAACTGGCTAAGAAAGGACAAAGTTTCTTACTGCGTGGCTTCAAGTTTCCAGTTCCTAAAAGTACCATGTATAATTTATGTGCGAGGGAAAGGACTGTAATGAAATTAATCCAGAGTGCTGGGTTCTCACAATGCGCTCTCTTTTCGGGTCTTATTTTTCCACTGGACGCAAGCTTCACTTTTATTGCATGATTGTGAGCATGAATAAGACCCCAAAGAGAGGGAATACACCACATTGTATATTTACATAAAGGCCCAGATGGTCGATCGCCATTCAAAGTGAATTACTCAAAGTTAGTTTGATATTTTTACAAACTTTTCCAGCATCTTGAGCATCAGTTTTTGCATCTTTGCAATAGCTTTTTGCAGCATTTCATAATGGTAGAACATTCTTTATGATTTTAGGTATTTAATAACATTTTTACTACGTAATTAAAATACCAATTTTACATTGTACATGATCAAATGTAGGTAGGCAAAAGTAAGATGTAAGTAATGTATCTAGACTCTAGAGGAATTGCGAAGTATCTCTGTGAAAGTCATTAGTCTATGGCTACGCGACCAAAGACAGTGTCGGGCGGTGTCGGTGAAGTGTGTCAATAAGTTAGAGCAATGTTTTATATAAAGTATTTAAAGTAACTACTTAAATGGCAATAAATATCGATACAGTAGCTGGAACTAATTTAATATAGCACACAGAAACAAAGCATATACACACAAGTAGGGAAAGTTTAATTATCAATTAAAAGTGATCCAATTCGCTCATAAATACATGGATAGATCAGTCAATACATTTGTCCATTTGTCAAACCCTAATGGAAATTTACTTAGGATGTTTTGGCCTTGATACAAGGCGTTTCAAATAGCAACTAAACACTAAATTATTATCAGATTAGGCATTAGATCTATGGAACTACAAACTATTTATCTGCGTTAGGTTTTTCGTTGTACAATAAATTGCGTAATGGAATGGCAATACTTTTTAACACCTACTTAGAGGATGGAGGGATGGGTGGGTTTGGGTTTGGGTTTGGGTTGGGCAATTTTACACACAATTTACACATAAATATAAATACGAATATTTGTCTGCCTTTCTAAACGTACTCCTCTGGCGCTGCCTGTCCATTCGAGGGCATCCGCAGCGTGGACACGGACTGTGGCTGTTGCTGTTGTGGCTGCTGCTGCTGCTGTTGATTCTGTTGCTGCTGCTGCGTGCCTGTCGTATCCGGCAGCTCTGCTATGTCCTTGAACACGCCCATCAGATTCTCATAGCTTGGTCCCCAGTTCAGCAAATACTCCCAGCCCAGGGTGGTGGCTGAGGGAGAGGCAGCGCCGTTCGCTTTGCGATAAATGCCGCTCAAATGGTTGGCAATGTCATCGTCACTCGCGACGAGTGTGCTGAGCGAGCCGCGAAACGAAGACTCGAAGCCATCGTATGGGTGCGGGGGAATGGGCGGCGTCTTGACGACACTCGGATTCCGGCTGGGCTCACCGCTGAGCGCTCGAGCGACCGGACTGCGGCCATCCAACAAGCTCTTGCTGGTGGAGTACTTTCCATCGCCGCTTAAGCTGTTGTTGTCATACTCGATCTCGGAGCAGGTGAAGCTGTCGTTGCCGCTCTCATCCGTTGACGTTGAGCTGTGAGCGTCCACGTCCGTGTTGTGCATGCCACCGCCCAGGGACATGTGCAGGGCGCTGCTGGGCACGCGCGGCGCCTCGCTGCTCGAGGACACAGCGTCGAGTGTAGAGACGAGGCTGCAGGCTCTCGGCCGGGCATTGAGGCGTTCAATCTCCTCGGCAGTCAGACCCATGGAGGTTTGTGGCGGCGCCTGCTGCGGCACTCCAGGCTTCTGCCTGCTGGCACTGGAGCTCTGTCCCGAGAGCTGGGACATGACGGGGCTGTTCAGGCTGCGCTCGCTGTTCGAGTGGAGGGCATCCTTGCCCACACCGCCTGAGCTGGAGGTGGTGGCCAGCAGCGCGCTCTGCAGCGGCTTGCCCGATATGTCGTGTAGCGTGAGGATGCGCGGCTGCTGGGAGCTCAGTTCCGAGCTGGGCGAAAGACGCGCCAGCGGTGTGCTCTGATGGGTGCGCGAGGCGCTGTTCGGCGGCGGCGGCTGTCCGCCTTGGTTTCGCGACACAAATGGCGCCACGCGGGGCGAATGACGATGCTGCTGCTGGCTGGCGGCACTCTGATGCTTGTGGTGCGTGTAGGCAGCCACGGGCGGAGAGGTGGCCTTGTACTTGCGCATGCCACCCGCCTCGCGGTAGCCCTTGTAGTGGTACACAATGTCAATGTCCGAGGGAGCGATGGAGCTGGCATTCTCCAGGTCGTAGTGTTCGGGGTACTCGGAGCCCATGTCCACAGAGCTGCCGTGATCGAGCGGATGCATTGCATTCGGCGGCGGCATGGACAAATGATGCTCCTCCCTGATCAGCGGACTCTTGCCCACGACTTCGCGTTCGATGATGTCCGGCCGTTGGGGCCGCTGCTGTGGCTGTGGCAGCTCTGCCGTTGGTGTCAGCTCGCTGCGTTCCTTGAACTTTTTGGTCAGCAGCTCCGGTCCTACGAGATGATGCGTGGGTGGACGCAAGTGCTCGTTGGCGCCCACCGGCGGTGCAGGCGCTTCGTTGGGGTGCAGGCCACGTGCCAGCACGTGATCCACTTGAGGCACTGGTGGCCCGCCCAGCACTCCTCCAGGGTGTTTGATTTTGAACCCAGGCACGCCGCAGCTGAGGCTGCCAATCTTCTCCTGTTTGCCGCGGAACCTGTAGATGACATACGACCCGAGTATGGCCACCACCAGAATGACAAAGAACACAATGACCAAAGTAATGCCAATGCTCAGTGGATCCGCCACTTGGGCCGCATCCACGCCAATGTCTCCGCTGCAGCCGAGCTCCACCTTGCCGTGATGCCGCACCTCGGGAAATATGCTGCCAGAGCCGTTCAGTGGCTGCAGCTCATGGTTGATGGTGAAGTTAGCCACGCAGCCAACGAAGACTTCATCAATGCCGCGTCCGCTGGGCGCTCCGCCCACCGTGAGTGTGGTCAGGTAGGGATCCAGAAAGTCATGCACGCCCGCAATGTCCAGCTCATCGCCCACCTGGCGCCCGTCAATGAACAGCTGCAGACTGCGACTCTCGCTGTGCAGACTGACATTATGCCAGCGTCCATCGTGCAGCGTCGTTGGCTCCTGCACCGTCATGTTGATGGTCAGCTGCTGCCTGGAGTAGTAGACGAGTTTTCCCTCCTTCAGGGAGAGCGAAGTGAACATTTGATTGGTGGCAGAATAGAGCAGCAATCCTTGGGCTTTGTACGTGCGAAAGAGCAGACTGAGCACTTTGGGCGCTTCGTAGATCTGGGAGGCTGCTGCTGGTAAGCTGCTAATGTTCTGCCTCACAATCTGTCGTCTCTCTCGTGTGCTGCTGTCCGACCAGGCGTCCTTGCTGTTGTACAAATTATCCAGCAGCTGCATGCGACGATGCAGCTCGGAGATTCTAAACTCTAAAAAGGCGCCACCGCTCAGCGTGACAGGCTCCAGGGATTCCGAACAGTCGGGTGAATGCAGTTGCCCGCCGCACTGGCACAACGCGCTGGACCAGCGGTCTATGCACTGCCCGGCGTAGCCACCACAGCGCTCGGCTGCCAGGGAAGGCTGACACGCCTGGCGATTGCAGCCAGGCAGAATGCCCCGCTGACTCAGCGGCGTGCTCAGGTTCAGCGCGCGGCCGGCAATGTGCACGCTGTGCAGACAGCCCACCAGATCATCGCTGTGCACCTGGCCAGGTCGCTCCAGTATGGGATCCGCCGAGGCCAAGCCGCCAATCAGCAGAGGTTGCTTGTTAAAGTTGAGTGTGCTGCGGGGGGAAGATAATGAAAATGTAGAAATTGGAGAGGTAAATGGAGCAGCAGCACTCACCCCACGGGACCCACTTCATCCGCATAGCAGCTGGAGTCTCCCGGCGTGCACTCGGCACACACATCCCCGGAGTCCGCACACTTGGCGACGCTGAGAGACATGACACGTCCATTGCGAGTGGCTGTGACCTTGTGCCAGCTGCCATCGGCTAGATTGTGGCCTGCCACCACGGTGCTGATGGCTGTGCGTGCCCCACCCGACGAGAAGTACGCCTGGCCGTGCACCAACTCAATGGCCAGGAAGTCCGAGCGGCCGCCACTGTGCATGCCGTAGTTGTAGAGCAGCAGGGAGTTCGGCTTGGTGGTGGCAAACACAATGGAAATGTCATTGGTGGTCACATCCAGCGCGGGGAAGGTCATAAAGGACAGCGGCTCGAAGCCGTAGCTAAAACGCTCGCAGTGGCGCCCGTAACGCCCGGCGGTGCAGCTGCACTTGTAGCCCGGCTTGAGGTTGACACAGAGCCCACCATGCAGACAGGGATTGGGTCGACAAGAGTCTGACACGCTCTCGCATTGGTTGCCGCGGAAGCCCGGCCGACACAGGCAAAAGTAGGAGGATCCATCGGAGCTGCGCTGGCAGCTGCCTCCGTTGCGGCAGGGTTTGCTCCAGCACACGTCGCTGCGTTCCCGCTGGCACTGTTTGCCATCACGATTCGACGGACAAACGCACTGAAAGTCGTTGCCAATGCGGCGGCACTGTGCCTGCAGCTGGCAGGGATTGGGCAGGCAGGGATCCTGTCTGCGATTGCACTGCTCTCCCGAGAATCCATTGGTGCACTGGCAGCTGTAGTCGTGCACAATGCGCGGCCCACTCAGCACCAGCGTGGGACTATCCACGATGCCAAAGCTGTGGGTATCCAGCAGTCGGATAGTGGCACTGCAGACGCCGCCATTCTCGCACACCTCGGGCTCGCTGCAGGGCTCGTAGCCAATGACGACTTCCTTCTGTAGGAGTTCGGACAGCGCCGCACGCTTCTCCCTCAGCCGCTCGATCACATGTCGCGGCTGCTGGTAGCTGCGCTTGGCGGAACGCACAGCCAGCAGCACCTCCAGACTGCTGGCATTGCCACTGCCATTGCCCAAGAGGCTGTAGAGGAAGAGTTCATCATCGCTGGCCAAGCGGGACTTGAGCATATCCACCACAGGACGATAATGCTGCGCCAGGAACTGCCCAGCTGTCATGTTGCGCACCAGCACGGACACCGTGTGCGCCAGTGTCTCATTGTTGAACGCCTGAAAGTCAACAGTTAGCTTAGAGGTAACATCGCTGTGCTTGCCATCGTTGCCCGTGTAGCTGTAGGCGTAAGCTGTGGGCGTGGTGTGCGCCGTGGTGTACAAATCACAGCCACGGGGTATGGCCAACTGATGCTGTGCCTGCGGCTGACTCTGCAAGCGGCAGCGATAGTCGCCCACAATATC